GCACCTACAATAGAGAAATCTGACATCTCTGCAAGAGGTGGTTTCTCTCAGTAGAGACAATAGTAAGACATGTGAGTGCTGAAGGTGAGAGTGAAAAGAAACTAATTAGGGAAATAAGCTGTCCAGGAAGGACACCTGCAGGAAACTTGCTGGGATGCGCTCCTGGGGATCACACGGGTAGGCGCTAGGGGTCTGTTACTCTGGGGAGTCTCTGTGACTGTAGATCTTCATCTTATTTTGGACAAAGGCCAGAATGGCTTAGTGACACTTGAAACTGTCACTAACACTTCAGAAGTATTAGCCCAAATGAGCTCTGTGTCTCACAGTCAGCCTACTTATGTCCTGCAATTCTCCTTCACCAGGGTGCTCTGGGCGCTACTCAGAGGCAGAAAAATGTTTCGATGAAGATTTTTCTGACCCCCAAGCATGACAGACTGTCCTAGATTTAGTCTAGAGGGTGAGCTGACTGGTCTTTATTCCCCTCTGTATTTCAAATCACCCTTTTCCCATGGTCCAGAATGATCACACGGGATCAGCATCATTCAAACTGACCTTTCCTGGGTATAGAGAGAAGATATGAAATACCCTGTTTACTGGCTGTTATCCTGGCAGACTGCCCTGGCTCTTCACTCTCCCACTATCCCCAGGTGGCAACCTGGGCTGAGGTTTCACTCCTGATGTGGCATTGTTGTGGAAATTTGGGAAAGTCTCTTAAATTTCCAAGCCACCAGAGACCCCATCTGTAGAATACCAGGGGGTCAAACATGTTGATCATCCCTGCCCTGGAGGACAAGGATACATTAACTTTTAATCTAAGATGTGTGACTGTGTAGGTTTCTATTTTAACTATCATTGATTTAGTCCATTTTCAGAAAAGCTGAATTTTTATCGATTTGGTATTTCCTTCTTGATATATGAGTCAACAAGTCACTGACAGCTAAGGGAAGAGCGTCACACTTTGGTTTTGATCTTAGACAATGCCAGTGAAGTGATAGGTGGTGGTGGTGAGTGGGCAGGCTCTGGAAGGATTTGTTTCCTGGTGATGACTTGGCTGTAGTCACTTAAAGAGACAGCAGCCTCCTTATGGGAAAAGACAATCCTTGATGGCAGTGCTCCTCATACACACATCCCTTCTTTTCTTTTCTTAATTATCCTATGCTGTGTCTGTTATGTCTTGTTCCGTGGCGTTTAACTCTTTGTGATTCAGCCTAACTCTAGAGCACGAGAACAGTTGTGATTTGGGAAAGAGCAAAAGGCTGCTGCAGAGTGTGGCCCTTGATGTCTCAGTACCTGACCTTTCCTTTGCCCTGGTGCCATGTTTCCTTAGCACCCTCTGCCTCCCACCCCCCGCACCGTGAAAACAATGACCATGTGCTTGTTGTGTTCATCTTCCCCGCTACGGCTGTGGGGCTGTCCACGCAGCTTTTCTCTCTCCCATATCTTCTTGTTCAATTGCTACTTGGTCACAGGATCCTGTCTGTGGGATAAAAGCCAGGATGAACCGTGACTGATGGTAGAGCAGCACTGCTTTCCCGTGTCCAAGGACTCTAGGGATTCTCGTCCATCTTCCGATAGTGGAAACACATTTCTCGTACTTCCTTGGCCCTTATTTCTTGCCGTGATGACAGATGACATAGTCTCATTACTGTGTCATGTACTTCCCAATATATAAAAGTGGTTTCATGTATCTCCTCTGTGAAAAGACACATCCTCACCCCCTTGAGAACCTAGAAATCATACGGACATATCGCTTCCCCACCCCCAATTTGTTACTCAAATTATCTAAGGAGATCTCCCAACTCCACTTTATTTCCAGAAATGTGTCAGATTTGCTCTGAAGCACCAGCTCTGGTTCTCATCCTTTTCTGTCCTCCATGCAAACTTTTAGCTATCAGACTTCCATGCACAGAATTCATATCCTAGGTGCTTGAAAACTGACCCCCACTTCCATCTCAGGAAGATTTGTTTGGTCCTGCATGAATGAGCTGCTTATTGTGTGTAAAAGAATCTTGAGGGTGGAGGCAAAAGGTCAGAGTGGGGAGGGCCTCCCTGGTGGCGCAATGGGTTAAGCACCGCACTATGAAGAGATCTGCAGCCTCTGCAACACGAGTTCGATCCCTGGCCTGCCAGGGAGCAAACCACATGGCGGGGCAGACCTCTCCTGACTCGCCTGCTGCTCCTCTCAGCAGTGTACTTCAGTCAGTCTGCCTGTTCTGTTCCCCACTCTGTCTCTGGTGAACTCTCTCACCCCCCACATCTCTGGCCTGTGCACCAGCCCTTGTATTCATAAATAAATAAATCTTAAAAAAAAAAAAAAAAGGTCAGAGTGAGGAGATCTGTCTGTGTATGGGGCGGGGGCAGGGGTCCTGACCTGCAGAAGGAGGCTTTGCATTTGTATGCCTGAAATCCAGTCAGTTCCCTGCTACTTAGAGAGGACTTATCTTTGACCTTAGCTTTGAGTGACATGAGTGTTGGTTCCTTTTTCCTTAGCATCCTCATAACTGTTCAGACTGAGCAAAGATATAGTCTTGGAAGACATAGAAAGGCATATTGTTCTGGAAGGAGGTATCAGGAAGTCCTCCTGTCCCCTCTTCATCTTCCTTCTACTTCTTCTTCATGATCACCATCACCGATTATCGCTGCCATCATCGATATCGATATTATCATCATCCCTGTCCATTGTGTGATGGCAGCACTTTTTTTCAGATGGCTCCACGTTTATTACTTTTGGTCATCGCAGAAACTCTGGGTGGTAGGTGAAAAGGGATTAAACATATTCATTGTAAAGACAGGAAATCTACTGAGTAATGCTACTTGCCCATGACACAGAGAGAGGAAGGGATAGAACCCAACTACCTGTCTAGGGAGGCAAAAGTTTCCTTTGGGGAATCAGGAGGTTGAAGGTAGGAAAGAATAGCAAAGGCATGAAACTGGAAGAACCAAGGAATTGAGGTTTTAAAGAAGTGAGGCTCAGATTAGGATCCTGGTACCAGGAAACCACTGGGTCGTTTGATCTGAGAGGTGAGGGTTATTGTGGCTTTGGTGGTGGGCACGGTGTGATAACATACATCTATAGGGAGGTGAACCTATATCAGTAAACTATGTAAAGTTATAAACCTAGGTCAGCTCAATAAATATCATTTTTAAAAAGGATATGAAATTCAAAAAATAAGTATACAAAATTCAAATTCCAAAAACATTTGATCAGAGAAGCTCCAGAAGGTTACAGGGAATTCCTATTGAATGGCCACATCCTTACATTCCTGGTTTTCATGTGAGTAGAAGGATGGTGCTGCTGCAGGTCCTTGTTATTGTTGTAGGTCTGCAGTGTCTGCTTGGGGACAGAATGACACTGGACAGAGCAGATGAGTATAGAAGCAATAACAGGCCCACTCTTTGGAAGGATGAATTTTCCTTTTCTCCTCTCTGAACCACACACAGCAGGCTTTCCAGAGCTGTGAATCATCCATTTGAGAGAAGGGAGGGGAATAGAAAATTAAATATAATTTATGCTTTGCTAATTGAAATCAAATACAAAATTCAATCTCCTGTGAGTTGCAATGCGCACTTTTAAATAGGTCAGAAGTATTATTAACCCGACTCTAATTTAGCAGGTTGACTTAGCTTGTCTGGCTAGAAAATGATTCCTTTGTCAAGGTTCTATGCTGGAGAAGAGGTCATAGCTTAGTCGTTCACTCCCAGAGTCACAGGGGTCAAGCTAGAGTAGGCGCTGCGGAAAATAGAACTTCAACACATCAAGTTTGCATTTCTTTTCAGAACCAGGAGCTTTCAACCATATCACCAAACAGACCCTTAAAGTCAAAATTCTCAAGATGTCAAGCTCAGACCTCTGTTTTATTTCTCCAGAGAATTTAGCCCACTGTTTTAGATTTAAGAGTGTATACATACTTTAAAGGGAGGTTTCCCCACTTTTATTTCCCAGATGAGAATGACTTACTAACCATCAGTTAACTATATTAAAAAATTGGTTTGCTTGTCACATTTACATGAGGACACACACTTTGTAGATTTCCTTTTAAGCAGCACTTAAGGTCTTGCTGTCCTGGGTTTATTGGGACAGTTGGATAGGTAGGGAGCAGGAAAATGGAGAGCAGGTGTGATTAAGGGATTGTGTCATTCTGTGTCCACCCAGGATAGAACAGAGGAGGGGCTGTAAGAGCAATGATCATTCTTAGCCAGTAGAAAAACACCTTTAAAGCTTCCTCATGACCAGATATTCCTTTGACTGCCTAAGTTGCAAGATCACAACTTACCTTCTTCCCTAGAACTTCCAGACCCGAACAGAGAGACTGTGTTCCTCTAAGGAAGCCATAAAACCCTGGAGCTACTTCTCTTGGAAACAATCTCCATGAAGACATAAAAAGAGGGTAGAAAAGAGGGCAAGAAATATGCGGGTAAGACTTTGCTTCACTTGTTCTTCCATAACAATACCTTTGCAAGGACGGATGCCAGAGGGCCAGTCTAGAGATTCTCATTCACCAGGAAATCTAAACTGGAGCCCGGGAAGCTGTAGCATAAAAAGGCTCCACAACTGACTCTGGTATGTAACTAGACCCTACCCTTTGGGACCACAAAGTTCCAAATCATCTAGTTCACAGAATACTCTTCTGAACAGGTATACATCTCCAATAAGGGTGTGCGTATGTGTGCCTGGAATAGCTGTAACTTCCTTTACCTGGGTCAGGAAGATACACACGGTGCCATAAGTTGGAAAAACAATTCTTTTTCAGGTGGTTTCTGAGTCTGGCACATCAGCCCATTCCTTGCCATGATCAGTGAGGGTGGAGAAAGGTACATCCTTCACAGGAGCCATTTCCTCTGTGCCTTTTCAAGAGTCATCCTGCCTGGCAGACAGAGGAAGAGTCTCTAATCCCAGGGAAGGGAGATTCCCAACAATCAAGGGTAGGATGGGGACGGAGGTGACCAACACAAACATGCCATCAAAACCCATTAATCAGGTTGCATTAAGCTTTATAACAACACAGTTTTCATTTAGCGGGTGAAATGACAGTTTAATAACAGCTGAACAGATTTAACTCCCCCCACTCATACATATTTCCAATTTTACTATAACAGGTCCTGGTTTGGGAGATCTGTGAACAAGTGCTTTATGTCAAATGCTGCATTTTAATCCAATCAAACTAATGGGAAGGGACACTTTATTCAGCAGCCCTTGATGGGGGTGTCTGCAGACGGCCCTTCCCTCCCCCACCCCGTAAACTGGATCTGACAACTGGAGTCAGTCCTTTTGTCACTGTCCCAAGGCGTGCACCTCTGAAGAGAGCAAGTGGAGCATGAGATGACTGTGAGCAAAAGATGCTGGGGCAAAGAGAAGGGTGACTCATTCCTTGTTGGTTTCATTGCTAAGGGCTATTCTGAACAAAAGACATGCCAAAAATCTGGACTGTGTCGCTCTGGGGACCCGATGGGGCCAAGATTACCCCCAAAGCATGACTCAGAATAACGGCACCACCTAGCGAGATGGTCTTCGGGGATGGAGACCTCCCACCAAGAAGACTGGCTTTCTTTCCAGGCCGGGCATTCTTCTTCGCCAACCTCAGGACTCTGAACTGGGCTGCAGCCACACTGCTTAGAGCAGCCCTTTGGGGTCAAGCTCCTCCACAACCCACGATACTCATGAAGAGAGAGATCCAACCCACCAGAGACTGTAGGGGGCTCTTAGAAAAAGGCTTCCAGGGGTGCAAATGTTTTGTCTTTTGTGGGGGGATGAGAAACGTGCATGCCTCTGCCTTCCTAGGATGAGGAGGGAGGAAGGCAAAGAATTGTGGGATGAGACCTTGACGGAGAAGGCTAGAGACACCTTAGAGGGAGGACCTACCCCCCTAGGAGTCCTGAAGCACTCAGCCACAATGAGCATTCTGGAAAGATGCCAAATCCGAGGCTAATTTAGCAAGAGCCAGTGCCAGACACTGGGCTCAAACGTGTGCTTTCCAAAGCAAAGCCAGAGCCCCCAGAAAGTAGACTTTCCCTTCTTTGTATCCCTTAAACAAACATTCGTGGCGCTGTCTCTGACACTGACCGCTATTTATCCTGTCTTCAGACTCTATGAACTAGCAGAAGACGGGGATTAGGAGTGGCTTGTGAATGGCCATCTGGTCAACCAGCTGCTGCTGCACAGGCAGGCCTGGTTCCTCCACAAGGGATCCACTCCTTTGCTGAAGCCCACAGCCCTGGAAGCAAGCCTGACTGGTCAAAGGGAGAGATCTACCTGGCCCTCCAGCAAGCGGAGGCTGCAAACCCTGGGGGCATCAGGGCTCAGGTAAGGAGCCTCCTTAGCTATCCCCTGGCCTCTCCTTCACATCTCTAGCCTCATTTGTCACCCTCTTCCTGTTCCCACTGGAAATCTTGGCCAGTCATTTGGTAAAACATCATATTGAAGGGTTTGTAGAACTTCCTCAGTCTGTGGATCACATCCGGGTCGATGCGAGGATGAGTCCGACCTTTGCTCTTGCCTAAGCACCTGGGGGCACTGCTGTCTTCTGGTTTCTTGAGGCAAGGGAACCCCTTGGTTTTGTTGAAATAGAAATGCTTCTCAGTCACCACACGCTTCAGGCCTAGAAAATCCTGTACTTTGGCCATCTCCCCTGCAGGGTCCACGATGAGTCGCTCGCCACTGACAAAGAGGATCTGAGAGAGAGGGAAGTACTGGAGCCAGTTTTCCAGGTGCAGTGCGTAGATCCCTATTCGAATGGCACTCCAGGAGGCATCAATAAGCCCGAGGGTCCGGTTTTTGAAGGCCAGCACCTCAAAGGTGGGGATCTCAGGTTTCTTTGACAGAGTCTGTGTGTAATCAGAGATGGCCCTGGTCACGGGGTTCCTCACCACTACGATCAGTTTGATGTCCTTGGCCATGGAGTGGATGCGCCTGGGGGCCTCATTGGTCACAAAGTAACTGGGTGTCTTCTCCATGGTTATCTGTCCATCCAAAGTCTTAGGCATCACATTTCTGGAAGAGTGAGCAAAAGGAAAGAGAGTGGTTATTCCTACCTGGAAATATTTTAACTGTTTGCATAAAATGTGTGACTTAGATAGCTGAGTGGGGAGCTATTCATTGATAAACACTTAGACATTCTTTTGAACCCAGGAGAGTTATGCTGATAGCATTATTAGAAAAAGGCAGCACAAGGCATAAGCATTCATTCTTGGGAGCCTTATACGCCTTAGTTTAGGTTGCTGATTTATGCTTCCAGTTATGTTTAACCTAGATCTACTCTTAATTTTTCTATGCATTAGTTTTATAATCTCTGTAATGGAGGTAATGAGAAGACACACTTCACACGGTAGTATAAGGATTAAGGGAGATAATACTTGTAAAGCATTTAGCATAGAATCATGCATGTGTAAGAGCTTAACAAATCAAGGTTATTATTATTATTGCAGTGGTTTTCAAAATATGTTTGAGCTCAATAACACCTCAAAGATTTGCCCAGTGCTTGGCAAACTACTACCTGCCTCCTGTTCTTGTATGACCTACAACTAGGAATGATTTAAACATTTGGGGGAAAAAACCCTAAAGAGTAATAGTAGTGTTTTGTGATGCATGAAAATGATATGAAATCCAAATTTCAATGCTTATAAATAAACTTTCCCTGGAACATAGCCACACTCATTGCTTTATGTATTGTCTATGGTTGCTTTCATATCACTGCAGAGTGGAGCAGTTGCAACCAAGACCATCTGACCCACGAAGTCAAACACACTATCTGACCCTTTTAGAAAAAGCTCGTTGGGCCCTGACTTAGTTCAAAGGCATCACAGGCAAATGAAGAAAGTGAAGCCTGGAGACAGGCATGGACCTGGGCAATCAAACAGGCTCTGTGGGCTCAGAAAGTAGAATCACATCCTGAGCCTCATAATCCTCATTTGTTAAATCCTAAAACTTGTCTCGAGATCAAAATTGAGAATAAAATGACATCTGGTGTGAAAGCATCCAGCATAGTTCTATTTCATATATGGGGTTTCTTCTTTCTTTGTTCCCAAGATTGCCCCATGAGACCGTTATATATCCCACACCATGGCCCATGTCACTCAGTTTCTTTGTCAAAGTTGCTTCTTCAAACCCACCTCTCCATCCCTGTTCACTTTCAGAGCTGCCTTGTCTTATTTGGGAGCTTCAAGATATTAAAGGAGTTTGAGGCTATCCGTCCACTAATCCCAGTGGCCAAGGGCAATCATTGCTAAAAGGAGGCAGAGGATTATACTGTACAGCCAATTTGTTATAGGCAGATGCAGACCAAAGTTAATTGACGATAAACCTGTTCAATACCTGTTGGTACAGCAGACCATCTGCCACCATGTGCTCCATTAAGTCTATTCACTTCTGAGCCTTGCACCAAAGTGGTACATTTAGGAATACACAAGAACTCTTTGTTATGATGACATGCTTTTAAATGTCCCAGCTAATAAAACTTAATACAGACGAAGATCCCTCAGCTTCCCTTACCATAATTAAATTTATTTACTATCGAGTGTGCGGAGCAAGAATGACTTTTCTTTTATCTCTAATTCACATGCTTTGTCAATAATTAATTGCTACTGGGTTTTGAGCTTTCTCGGCAAGCACTTTTATTAGGCAGGAGGAATTTTCCTAAAGAGAAATTCAGAGAACTGGTTGTGAGAGCTTCAGGAGGGCAGACAGCCTGCAGCAGAGCAACAGTCCCGGCTGTAAGGAACTGGATCTGCTTTGCACCAATATATTCGCCAAAGTATCTCAAATGCCTACATGTTGTGTGCCTGTTTGGTTGTCCCCAGATTTAACTGTCTCATTTGCAAGGGACAGTGTGTGGGAATCAGATGTGCCCCATTTAAGAGTTCTGACTACCCATGTCACCTTGAAGAAGTTTCTCAACCCACTTGAAATCTTGATTTTCTTATCTAAAAGATAGGTTAATAAAAACATCTCCATTAGATGATTATAATAAAGACTAAATGTGAAAACACAGGTAAATCACTGAGGGTAGTGCCCAATTAATGCCAGAATTTTTTTTTTTTTAACTTAGGCCAGGCACACAAAAATAGGCACAGCTAGCCGAAGAAAAGAGCAAGGAGAATATTTACATTTGACCAAACATGGGACTGATCTAGGGGAAAAAAAGCATATTCTGATTTAAGGTAATATCAACTGCACATTCTGATCTGGAGGCTGGCGAATCACCAGGCAGCTAGGATTAGTTCAGCCTGAGTTTAAGGAACATGTTGATGTCCCACTTTCATTTCAATTGGAGAAAATTTTATTTATTGTGGAGCTCCTATCATAGGATGAAGATTTTAAATAGGTGTGGCTGCAAAAAAATACCTGAAGATATTTTCCCATGGCCCTTTCTAGGCCTTTGTCCCTTGGATGTATTTTTCTTGCTTACTTGGTTGCATGTTTCTTGAGCATGGAAGCAGCAGCCAGATTTTCCTTCTCATCTGTTCTCTGCTATCCACTTCTCAGACTTCAGTGCTTGTCTTAACATTGAGTCCTGTTCAAATTCATCTCCTTCACTTCAGCTAATTGCTACAGTCTGTCAAGATCGTTGTGGATCTGGAGTCTTTTATCTGAAGTATCTGGGATGAAACAACTTCCCACCTCTAAGGCAGTGTGTATAGAGGAGTGAGTGTGGCTAGGTCAGTGTTTGGTATAAAAGGGGAGGACAGGAAAGGACTGGAAAAGTGGGGAATAGTAGATCCTAAATGACTTTGATCATCATGTTGCGGATGAATTAGGCATGTAAGAGGAGAGTGCCTGCCCTTTGGGGTACATGTGTCAAGACCATCTCACTGCACCACCAAACATTTGTGGTGGCATCGGATTATTTTTGCCATTAATAGGATACCCAATAGCTCCTCAATCCTATAGCAGGTAGCAGGTCCCTCTCCCTAAAACTGATGCCGACTCAGTTATATTAATTTACTTGAATCACTTTATTTGCATAAAGGTTCCCGTCCATAATGGCAATGTAACAGTGAACAGGACAGAGCCCCTTCCTCCAGAGTGTACCGTCCAGCTACCACATCTCATAAATGCAGAGTTCTTCATACAACACATAGATGACCACTGTAATCAACAGAGTGGGACTTATTATTCCAGTTCTATAGAGAAGGAACGTGGCTCAGAACCTAACAATGGCTCTCAAGGTCTCACTGAGAACCTGCGTCTTTGGTTTCTAGGCTTAAGGACAAGCGAGAGTAAGTCACTATCAGTGCCAGTGCTGAGCACCAGTTCCTGGCAAATACCAGGGGCTCAATACGTCCTGAGTGAATGGATGCGTGACCAGCCCTTAACCTCTTGCAAGGCTAGGTTTTTGCAGTGATTGTTTTTGCTGCCCTAATCCACCTTTCCTCACCCTTTATCCCCTCTCCAGGCTCCTCACCTGAATCCTCAGTCTGGCAGCCATTTCTATACCTTGCTGTCCCATTCCCATAAAACTAGATGAGGCAGCTCTCCTCTTGCGGAGAAACAACCTCTCCCCGACTGGGGTTTGGGTCTTATCTCCCTCTGCACTCTTAGGAACTTCTCAACCCCAATTTCCCTTCTCCTTCCTGATTTTAAGTAAGTTCTTCTCCACCAGGTCTGACATTTCCACATCACCACATTCTCACATCTGGGTGCTTGAGGAATAGAGAGGAGACCGGTCATGCTGGAGGGGGTGAGAAAGGTTAAGAGAGAAAATAAGGTCAGGGCAGTGGGCAAACCAGGAAGGCCCGTAGGCCATGGGAAAGACCCTGGATTGTATTTAGATGTGATGAGAAGCCACGGAAGAATACAGAACTGGAGACTATGATGTGACTTACATTTTAAGATATTTTCTTTGACCTTTTTGCTGAGAACAGACAGGAGTATGATGAGCACAGAAGGAAGGTAACTGCCATGCGATCGTTTCAGGAGAGCAGGTTAGGGATAGTGGGGGCACGGAGGTTAGTGCAGAGAGCAGCGTGGTAAGAGGTGGTCAGCACCGAGGTGCATTTTAAAAGTAGGGTCATTGGCCCTTCATAAGTGGGATGCATGTGCAGGAGAGAGAGAGGCGTCAGAGCTGTTCCCAAGACTGCTGACTTGAGCTCATGGTTCAATAGATGAGAACACTGGAAAGAAGCAAGTTTGGGGGAAGTCACAAGTCTGACTAGACGTGTCACCTGAGCCCTCCATTACACACCTCAGTGGAAGGTGCCCAGCAATTGTGTTGCCGTGAGTCTGGAACCCCTGGGAGACCAGAGTTGGAGGTGGGCATTTATGTCAGGTGTTCCCAGTTGACGGCCAGGCAGTGGGGCACAGGATGGCTGGCTCTCTTGACCTCGGCCTACAGAAGATGGGAGCTGCCCTTTGCCTATCTGGGGAGTCCTCCTGAGTAGGAAATGTATCTAGATACTGATTGTGCAAAATTATTTTAATTCTGTAACAACTATTTTCACTGACTCCTTTGACTTCCCAGAGTCCTTGATAACTACGGGTTTTTTTTACAGAGCTCAAAACGACATCAGTGTGATCTGTTCCTGGGGCTTCCTTCATAGCTAGCCTCAGTTCCTCAAAGCCACCAGCAATGTTTTCTTCCTCTTTGTGTCCCCAGGGCCCAGGGCAGTCCTTGCCACGTGATCGCTGTCCACCGTGACTGGGTGAGCATGTAAATGCGTGGTCCCTGGAAGCTGGGGCAGTTGGGAGGACGTGGCTCCTGAGTGGGCTCCCCAAGCAGGGGGTTCAGGCCTCTGAGCTCCATGCCGCCCGTGTGAAGGACCACACACTTCAGTGTGGACCATATGGTGAGAAAACACCGCATCTGGGCTTGGAACAGTTTGTTAACAGTATCCCGGGTGCTCAGAGCAGCCGCGACTTCAGTGTCAACACACAGCCCCGAAGCCAGAATCTCTCTGCATGAGTGCACAGTTGCTCTCACAGCCCCAAATGTTTACGAGACACTATCGGGCTAGCTGTCCCCCGGCCCCACCCCTGTCCCAAGAGGGGTGCTGTGC